TCGTTCACTGATTTGTTGATCGGAGATAGCAATTTGCGTCCACTCCTGGTACGCATACACTAAGACCAACAAGGGTTACGAGCACCAATGATAAGAAAAGAAAATAAAAATAAAATAAGAACTAACACCTAACAAATAAAAAGAAATCAAGAGAAACACGGAAACAAGAAAAATCACAAGAAATAAGAGAAACACTCAAAACAAAATGAATAGGCGCACAAAAATAAGTCCTAAACCTTCCCCGGCAACGGCGCCATTTTGTTGTAGTTCTTTTTACCGGAGTTAAATCAAAAGATTCGAACACCGGGTCGTGTCTCAAGGAAGGTTAGCCGGATTATTTTGTACGATTATTCAAGCACAAAAATGGAAAATAAAGAAGTGAAAATCCTAAACATTCTAAATCAAGTTTGGAGATTTGATTATCGTCTACTAATTTGAAAAGCAAGTGATTGAACAGGGCAAACAAACTAGGAATCACAAATTTAATATATAAAGAAAGAGCTAGGGTATCGGGGTCGATCAATTCCGGTTCTCAAAACACTTAACGAGCAATCAAGAGCTCGGTTGAACGTTTCGCTAAACTACTCATCTAGAGGTCTATCCTCAATAACTCTTCGTAACAAGAGGATAGACATAAATAAGCAATTCTTGAAGCAATCAACACATAAGCTATACTATTACGAACAAGCTTATTCCTAACGAGCCTAGATCGAACGATTTCTCCCTTTTCAGTTTTAAAATCGATTACATAGATCAAGATGGTGATCAATCATCAAAACCCTAAATTAAGCACAACTCGAGAGGATTGAGCAATTATCATGCTTATAAATAAAATCAAACCGGAACGATCTTCCCTTAACCCTAGCTAAAGGATTTAGCTACTCATTATGCATTCAACTCCAACACACATAATAATCAAAGCCATTCAATCAATAAGAAGATGAAACGAAAGCTTACGATTGAATAATCCAATGTTGAATACACGAATAACTGAATCCACAAGCTTAATCTTGGTGTTTTCACAATCCTAGATCAAATCCTATGAAGAACTAAGAGAAAAACTGTTTTGGAGTGAATAATAATGAGAGAAAGTCTAAACCTAGGTGAAAAGTGAATGAAAAACTGATCAAAAAACGAAACTTAAAAATCTGCTGTCGCGACCTCCGCGGCCGCGACTTAGACCTCCGCGGCCGCGGCGAACAACATCTCGCGGCCGCGACTTCCTCCGCGGCCGCGACCTCCGCGAGCCAGAAACTGGGATTTACGTGCATCTCGCGGCCGCGACTTCCTCTTCTCCGCGGCCGCGGCGAACAATTTCTGAATGTTGGTTTTTGGATTCGTTTTCTCTCATCCGGACTCGGAATTTGACCCCGTCTTCTCCAACACGACCCCAACTCATCCATCTAGACAGTGGACCTCGCATATCCATGCACCGAGCCACCAAACCTGCACATCACCACCGACAAGAAATACGGAAAACGGGAAAAACGAACAAAAAGACCAAAATCGACTAAAACAATGGATATGCGCGAGACGACTCGAAACGGACCAAAAACCAAAGAAAAATACCTAAGTAGGGGAAAAACAAGCATGAAATAAACAAAGAAAACATGACAAAAGTGGAACGAACAGTGGGATACTCCAACACTTTGCAGTAATAAATTGTTATTTACCAATGTCACTTTCTACCATCCTCCAACTTGTCACTCATCTTTGTAATGTTAACTTCACGAATTAGTCTAGTTATGCGGCTACCCTGTAAAATCGCAATACAAATATAATATTTTCGTCAAAAAATATCAAAATAATAAATATTGACAACTACTATTAAATCACATAATGAAGAATACTAACATCACTATCGTGGAAAACTATTTCCAAATAACTTCTGTAATAGACATCAAACATCGTCTTAAATATGTTGCTGGAAGTTTCAAGATGACCTTCGTATTTCATTTAAAAAAGTTGATTAGACCAAGGGTTCATATTTTACTTGTCCACAGATTTCTTTCCTCACATCTTCATTAATTCATTTAAGTATACATAAACCACAAATCGTGAAAAAGCCTAAGAAAACATATAGAAATCAGTCAAAGTAATCAAACAGGAGAACTGCAGAATAAGAATGTACCTGAAAGTCCCCACAGCAAATGAGAAGATCAATCTTGATTTTTTCAACTTCTTGTAGGTGTAATAGAGTAGCATATACATTATCCAAATCTCCATGCATGCACCCTTCTACAGCTATTTTCATCTAAAATTATATATTTTCAATTAGAAGCAAAATAAACAGTGCCTTTAAACTAATGACAACAATTCAGTAGTGGCATTTACACAAGCTTCCAAACATGGGATATTCAAAATTTTATGCATATCAATTACTAGAATATGCTAAAACTCTAACTCATAACTCCATCAGCAAAACTTTACAGAGCATTAAAACTGAATAAGGATCGGATTCACAGGGACGCAGTCAATCATGTCGGGCACATCCCACACACAGTGCAAACTCACTTTTGAGTCAAGTTTATCATAAAACCTACTATCAAGCCTCGCCCAAGTTAAGTTCTAGATAACCTATGCTCATCTTAATCACGACAATAGCCAGTTTAGCTCGAAAAGATTTTATTAGAAAACCTTTTTTTCTGTTCTCAACAAATTACAACTTTATGAAAGTGATATTTTTGTGAAAGTGAATAAATAACACACACGGTGATCATCCTAGCAAGTTGATGACGCCGTGGCCGTTGGTGTCGGCTTCCCGCATCATCTCGATGCTTTTGAGAAACTTTATAATCTCCCAAAATTTGTTTTAATTTACTATTCATCATAAAAGTCAACAGACACTTGTAGTCGGACTAGTCAAATAAATTAATCATAATTAATAGGCTCAGTCCCCAGCCAGACACAGGCTTGACAGGCCAATGTTTTACAGGCTAAATTGATAACCATTTCAGCACCCAAACCATCAAACCAAAGAAATACTGACCTTGATAAAGTACTGATACACCCCATTTGGCATTTCTTGCACCCATTGTACCCTGAAAATCAACATGATTCTTTATTAAGGCTCACAAAGTCACAATAATTTACTAACCAAAAGGAATAACCTCAGAAACTGAATTTAATATTTATAAAGAACCCCCACAACCGCTCTCCCCAACCACACTTCACACATATGACACATGTATTCATGTGCACACACACACACACAACAAACACAAATAAGGTGAAGTGCAGGCAAGCTCAACGGTATTATTTTAAAGTAGAACATCCGACTTTTTCATGATAATAAGGTGAAGTGCAGGCAAGCTCAACGGTATTATTTTAAAGTAGAACATCCGACTTTTTCATGATAATACAAATACTCGTCAATCGCCATAGATCTTTTACAACAAATAATTTCAGTAGCACAGTCCCAAGTTGGTCATGAATAATACGCACAAGTTTAAGATATATTACCCATCCAGTGGATTAACTATTCCAGGAATAGAATCTCCAAATGATAATTTGTTAATTTTGTGGCTTATCTGCATGACATTAGATTAAACCAGTACAGTAATCAGTATTCAGAATTTAAATTAAAAAAACTGTATAGAGAAGCATTGACCACAAAAAAAGAGGATTTTAACACATAATTTATAGAAGGAAATTGAACAATTACTCACATTGTAACTTTCCGTCTGTATATTTAGCAAATCGAGCAGCTGGAAATTTTGGTGATGAATGCTCTTACCAGGGGCAAAGTGGAAATTGCCAGCAACTCTATTAACCTCCAGAGATCCATATATATTGCATCCTTCACCTACTTCCTCTTTAACTTTTTGCACAAAACCTTCTCTTATGCACTTAATACCAGAAACCACGACCAAGAAGAGATGATTGTTCAATTGCAGAGGTAAAAAATTTTGTCAGATTGAACATCAATCAGTTTCGTGTTTTTATTTGTTCTAGACATAATCACAACCATTCAAGACAAAAAAATTAGCAAATCCCCATTTCCACCAATTTTAACAGACACCTAATATATTTTTAGGGGATGAAATGGTTGTCATACAATAAAACTATTACTTGTCATATAGAGAGTATTTTATCTTAGCCATGGCATCTTCCTTTGATATCTATAAGTGACTTTCCCAAATACTATGGTGTGCACTTATACAGTTCCTACCTTAATTAGTAAATCTCATGCAAATAGAACATATCATAAAGAAAACGTTAAGTATGTCATCCCTTTCAGAAGAATATTGGTCATAAAGGAATAGAAAAAATTGCTTAATCAATAATGGTAAGGCACTAAGACAGAAAAAGATGTTCTTATCAACCTGATCAATCAAATTGGTGTTTGTCAGTCCCCAACCTTTCTTACGATATGCTTATTTCGTTGATGAGAACTTGCTCGTCCATGTCGGGGAGGATGGTGGCGGGGAGCTCGTCGAACTCGACAGCGTCTTTGTCGTTGGCATCCATGTTGGGGAGGAGGCGTGGATCTGTCGGGGAGGATGGCGGAGGCGAGCTCGAGCTGGGTGAGGCTACCATCGTGGTCCATGTCGAACAGCTTGAATTTGTAGTGCTGCCAGATCTTTCTGATTGAAGCTTTGCCATCGCGATTTCGGCCGGGACTCGGCGTAGAAAAATCCATCTGCATTACCGGCGAAACATAGAAAGTCCATTTCTAGTAAAAAAAAAACTCGCAAAAAATTCTCCGGGTAAATGGAGTGAACCCGCCTTCACTTTCAGCCGTCTCCTACTCAACGCATCGAACAATTCCAACGCAAATTCCTTCTAATCATTCCTGTAACAGAAAATTACAGTTGTAACTAAAAATCAAGCACTCATTTGAGCTCAACAAACCGCAATTAACAACACAATTAGCCATCAATTAACAACCTATGCATTGCCCAAAATTAGATCGATAGAGCTAGCCATCTTTGGCGAGTTTCGTAAAGTTCCTCTCGACTTCGCTCCAGCCGTCGACGTGACTTTTTTTGCCGTCACTGATGAACTTGAGCCCCCGGAGCGCCTTTTGGGCGCCGGAGCGCGTACGATCCAGCTGCGCCCGCTGGCGGCGCATCGCCATTGCCACCAGCGCCGATTCAATTACGCCTCCGCCTCTCACAGCGCCGCCGGAGAGTATTAAATTCCATGGTGGAATTGCATATAGGTGGACCGAGAATTTCCCATTGGAGGCCAGCTTCCATTTGGTAGGTTGAGATTATTTAGGGATGAAAAGAGAGAGTATTCAAAATCCATCGCGTTGTTTTCAGGCTCGACCGCCGGCCGGATTTTAGAGAAACGACTGGATGGGGAAGAAAGGTAATTGATTTCGAGATGTGGAATTCTTGGGTGCTATTGATAAATTTTAAGAGGATAGTTGAGGATGGCTGACCGATTCTGATGTTGGGAGGTAATTTGGGATTGGAGAAAGAGAAAAGGAGAGTGACGGAAAGAAGAAAATCGGGTGAAAGAAGAAAAGAGGGGAAAATGGAGAGAGAGAAAAAAAGATTTGGGGATTTGATAAAAAGAGAGATAATCTTCCTTTTTTTTCTCTTTTCTTCCTTTTGCTGCGGATCTTTTCTTTCAAATTTTAGATTAAAAGAAATCATATTGTAGAAATAGATAAGTTCAAATAGGTTGAAATCAATAAATAAAATCTCCAAAAAATTCAAATTGATGACTGATGGGCATAGTCAATTTTTTTGCCAAAAATTCTGCTCATTATATTCAATTTACTTTGTTAATTAGATTATTGCAATTATTGTTGTATATTTACTCGGAAATCTTACGTGATTTTACTATATTAAGTAGATAAATAAATGCGTTTATTCTGTAGGATTTTTTTCTATAAATCTATTTAATAAAATAAGTCGATCTTTAATTTATATTAATACCTTTTTAATAAACAAAAAAATCTGACAACATCTTTAGAGATAAAAAAAAATGAATTATAGAAATTGATAAAACGCGTGAGTCCCGTGTGCAATAATTATGGAATGAGTTTATTAATATGTCTACAAATAATTGACTAAAAAATCTAACCAAATCTGTAAGTGATTAAAAAAAATCGAATTCTACAATTATATAAGTCTTAGTAAATCTGTTAATATATTTATCTCAAAATTTAAGTCTTTTGATTGATATCCAAAATACTAATCGAAAAATTATACAATTAAATAAATGCGTATATTTTGTAAGATTTTGTCTAAATCTATCTAATAAAATAAGTCGATTTTTAATTTATATTAATACCTTTTTAATTAACAAAAAAATCTGACATCTTCAGAGATAAAAAAACGGATTATAGAAATTGATAAAACACGTGAGTCTCGTGTGCAATAATGATGGAATGAGTTTATTAAGATGTCTACAAATAATTGACTAAAAAATCTAACCAGATCTGTAAGTGATTAAAAAAAAATGGATTCTACAATTAGATAAGTCCTAGTAAATATATTAAAATATTTATCTCAAGATTTAAGTCTTTTGATTGATATCCCAAACACTAATCGAAAAATTATAACATGATGAATATTTAAAAGAAATTTTAACTCGTAAATTTTATGTGATTTTATTATGTTAAGTAGATAAATAAATGCGTATATTTTTTAAGATTTTGTCTAAATCTATCTCATAAAATAAGTCGATTTTTAATTTATATTAACACCTTTTTAATTAACAAAAAAATCTGACAACATCTTTAGAGATAAAAAAACGGATTATAGAAATTGATAGAACACGTGTGAGTCTCGTGTGCAATAATTATGGAATGAGTTTATTAAGATGTCTACAAATAATTGACAAAAAAATCTAACCAAATCTGTAAGTGATTAAAAAAAAATCGGATTCTACAATTTGATAAGTCCTAGTAAATCTATTAACATATTTATCTCAAAATTTAAGTCTTTTGATTGATATCCAAAACACTAATCGAAAAATTATAACATGATGAATATTTAAACGAAATTTTTAAAAATCAAATTGTTTTCATTGATTTAAATCGGATAAATATTGAGTAGAATTTGATAGGTATTATAAAATCTATTAACATATTTATCTATTATTAACATATTTATCTCAATATTTAACTATTTTGATTGATATCTAAATTACTAATCGAAAAAAATGTGTTATTTTATAACAGAATGAATATTTAAAAGAATATGAACATATTAATCTCAATATTAAACTCTTTTGATAGATATCTCAATTATTATTTATTAATAGAAAAAATGTGGTTATTTTAAACAATATGAATATTTAAACGAAATTTGTATCTCAATATTAAATTTTTTTAATAAATATCTTTTTTTTTTTTTTTTTCAAACGATAGACTTTATAAATAACATGAAAATACAACCGGTTCACTAACCGGAAAGAGGGAGTCTACCACCGAAGGTAGCCTGAATCACCACACTACGAAACACACAAAATACTAAAACCCCACTATTGAGGAATACACACTCCCCGTCGGGAGAATTCACACTCCTAAAGAGGAGAAAAAAAAACACTGACGCACACAAACAACACTAACACCACACATCAACAAACACTCAAACAAAGAAACACTAAACACAACACACACACAACAAAAAGAATACAAAACAACAAACACTAAGCCCTTCCCACAGCACAATGAAGCCAACGCGAACACCAACGACACCGACACCCAAGGCCGACTACTCACACGGACAAGACCCGATTCAAGCCGCAAATTCAGAAACTGCAGATAAATCGCCTAGCCAAATCTGAGACTAAAGAACCCAAACCCTCGCCCGAGTAGACAAACCAAAGACCTGCAACCGGAGATCCACAACATACTCCACCTCCCAAGACCCGACAACCCAGGTCCAGGACACAAGACCCACCCCGATCCGAGCCGACTCCGCTAACACAACCCAAAGGCCCAAAAGCAGAGCAAATCGGGAGAAGGGAGGAGAGTGAAACCGCACCGATCTCAGCCCCGACTACCACCTCGCCAACCTCCGAGGGAATAATAGGAGCCACAGCCTGCACTCACATCCACGCCAGCAGCCCGCCACCACCTAGACTCCGAGAAGACCGTGGGATCCCGACCCACCTTAGCAACCTGCAAGACGGCGAAACCCAAGGGGAGGACCCACGATCTCACCCGATGAAAAGGCCACCGCCACTGCCGACGTCCTGAGATTCGACCGCACGGCTCAGAGGACACCGCCGTCGTGGTGGCCCGAAGGCCCTGCTGGGAGAAGGCACGCGAATTAGCGGATTAGGTTTTTTGTGAATTTGGGGCTTTTTGCTGGGAGAGTGGGTGAGGAGCTTCTTTTCAAATTTTTTTAATAAATATCTAAATTATTATTTTTTAATCTATCAAAAATGTGGTAATTTTAAATTGTATACAAAAATCGTAAAAATCAAAATTTTGTTTTGATTCAAATTGGATAAATATTGTTTTGATTATTAGTTATATCAAATAATTTGACATTTTTATAAATTGTCGAAAAATTGGTAATGACAATCAACTTTTAATTTTTAATATTAATTAGTTATTTATATTACGCCAAAATTTAGTTGATATTTATAGAGATCAATTTAAAATACAATAATCAATATTTAAGCAGGAAATCAAATCGATACTCATAAAAAGTCTCAAAATATAAATAAATATTATCAAACCCTTGCAATGCCATGGAATAAAATCATACTCAAATTAAAATTTTAATATAACAATTTCATAAGTCCTAAGAAATCCATGCAATAATCTTCATAATCTCGGAACCCTCATTAGTGATGAGGAAAATTTCCATCGTACGTGAATACATTTGTCTTTGGATGAAGCACAAGAATCCATCTGTGGCCGGTTGTATTGATCCTTTGATTATTCAATTCAATATTGTAGTTGTGGATTGCATAAACTTTGCCTTCTTTGAACACATCTCGATATAATCCCATACTTCGAGAACGGATGATGCCATTTATGCGTGAACCCTATAATAAAAATTTATACAAATAACTAAAAAAAATGTATATAATTATGTATGTTTCATAGAACAATTGAAATGCTTACAATTTCATCATGAAACAGAATTTGAATATTGTTTTTGGACTGCAGCTCGAATTTAGATTCAAGAATGTTGACAACTCTTAATGTCAAATTCGGTTGGATGGCCCTATTGATGTCCTGGAGTGTACCACAGGATCGTGCCATTTCTTCTTTTGTGTATCTCGAAATATCTGAATGTGTAATTTTTTCTATGCACCTTTGAAGAAGGTGATAAAACAATGTATTTATATAGGTAGGATTGTATGATTATTTGCGTCTTTTATTTTTATTAAGATATCTACAAATATTTGGCATAAAAATCTTACAAAATCTTTAAATGATAAATGAACAAACTCATCCCATAATTCCATAATAAACGACGGCAATATGTAGGCGCTGAAATCGGAACTAAAATCGAAAAAAAGAGTTCCAAAATTTTCGAAGTGCATAGGCGGGAGCTTATTCATTTTTTTCGCCAAAAACTATACTAAACTTTAGGTGGGAATTGAAATCCTTTTTTTTTTATTTTCTACATGATTTTTTTAAAACTATCATTCTCTTTTTATATATTACTCTTTATATATTGATAAATTTATTATTTTTCAAATCTCTCCTCATAGAAACAACAAAAGCCGTCTGCTTCCCGCCACCACTATCCTCCGCACTGTTGAAACCACATTTTTCGTAATTCTTCTCCTTTTCACCTTCGAATCAAACAATGTAAAACTTCGTGAAAAACATTGAAAATCAGTGTAAGAGCGATCCCCCGCCTGACGATGCAAAATCCTCCACCTCGCACACCTCAGCCGGACTTCTTCTACTCCTCCATTCTCCAAACAACCGTCAAGACCAAGACTCCGGCCAAAATCCGGCCGGTCCACGCCCGCATAATCAAGTCCGGCCTCCACCTCGGCGCCTTCCTCATGAACACCCTCATGAACGCCTACGCCAAGTCAAGCTCCCTCTCCGAAGCCCAGAAGGTGTTCGACGAAATGCCCCTTAGAAACGTCTCCTCATACAATACCCTGCTTTCCGCATACGCCAAACAGGGCAAGACCCGCGAAGCCCTCTCGATTTTCAACCGGACCCCAGATCCCGACTCGGTTTCTTGGACCGCTTTGATAGTCGGGTACAATCGGATGGCCCGTTTCGAGGTTTCGTTTCGGTTATTTTTAGAAATGATTAGGAGCGGCGTTTCGCCCACAGAGTACACTTTCACCAACGTTCTTGCCTCGTGCATGGAGATTGAAGGGATCGATTTGGGCCGGAAGATTCACTCGTTCATCGTGAAGCTCAGCCTCTCGGGCTATATTTCCGTGTCCAATTCGTTGCTGAATATGTACGCGAAATCGGGCGATTTCCGAACGGCGCTAACAGTGTACAAACGGGTCAGATTCGCGAATATATCGACAAAAAATGCAGTCATCTCTTTGTATATGCGGATGGGCCAGGTTGATCGGGCCCGGGCCGAGTTCTGGGCCATGACTGATCGTGACCTCATCTCGTGGAACTCAATGATAGCGGGCTACAATCAGTGTGGGCTCGACCAAGAAGCTCTGGAGATGTTCGTGGAGCTCAATTTGTCTGAAATAAGGCCTGATAGATACACACTCGCAAGTGTGTTATCCGCATGTGCGAATCTCGAGAGGTTGGATGCTGGGAAGCAAGTTCATGCTTTTGTCGTGAAAAACGAACCCGATTCTCCAGTGCCCGTGTGGAATTCGTTGATCTCGATGTATTCAAAGTGTGGCCGTGTCGAGACTGCGCATAAAATCGTGCTAAAATGCGGGACGTCTGTGCTAAATGTTATAGCTTTTACGGCTTTATTAGACGGGTATGTAAAGCTCGGTGATTTGGGCCCGGCCCGTGAGATTTTCGACTCGTTGAGTGATCGTGATGTGGTCGCGTGGACGGCTATGATCGTGGGTTACGCGCAAAATGGGCTTAATGAGAATGCAATGGATCTTTTCAGGTCGATGGTTGAAAACGGGCCCGAGCCCAACAGCTATACCCTTGCAATTATGCTGAGTGTGAGCTCGAACTTGGCTTCTTTAAACCACGGCAAACAAATACACGCGAGCGCACTAAAATTAGACATGGCGCTTTCGGTTTCGGTCAGCAATGCCCTTATCAACATGTACTCGAGGGCTGGAAATATCGGCTGTGCGAAAAAGTCGTTTAATTTAATAAAAACGAGAAAAGACCCGATTTCTTGGACCTCAATGATAGTCGCCTTAGCCCAGCACGGTTTTGCGGACGAGAGTTTACAACTGTTCGAAGAAATGTTGTTATTAGATATCAAACCCGACCATATAACGTACATTGGAGTCCTCTCGGCTTGTACGCACGCAGGTTTAGTCGAGAGGGGCCGTTATTATTTCGATAAAATGCGTGACTCGCATGGAATCGAGCCCACTTTGAGTCACTGCGCGTGCATGATCGACCTTTTTGGCCGAGCGGGATTATTGCGCGAAGCGCAAGATTTTATCGAGAAAATGTCGGTCGAGCCCGATGTAGTCTCGTGGGGCTCGCTTTTGGCTTCGTGCAGAGTTTATAAAAACGCGGAGCTCGCGAAATTCGCGGCCGAGAAAATTCTATCCATCGAGCCGGAGAACAGTGGGGCCTACTCGGCTCTGGCGAATGTGTACTCGGCGTGCGGAGAATGGGAAGAGGCGGCCAAAATTAGGAAGTCGATGAGGGATAGGAGAGTTAAGAAAGAACAGGGTATTAGTTGGCTGCAGATTAAGAACCGAGTTCACGTTTTTGGGGCGGAAGACTCGGTTCATCCTGAAAGGGATTCGGTTTTTCGGAAGGCGGACGAGATATGGGAGGATATTAAGAGGATGGGTTTTGTGCCGGACTTGGGTTGCGTTCTGCACGATTTGGATCGGGAGCTGAAGGAGCAGATTCTGAAGTATCATAGTGAAAAACTGGCGATTGCGTACGGGTTGTTGAGTACGCCGAAGAATAGTACGTTGAGGATCATGAAGAATCTCAGGGTGTGTAATGACTGTCATTCGGCGATCAAATTTGTGTCGAAATTGGTCGATCGGGAGATAATCGTCCGGGATGCGACGCGTTTTCATCATTTTAAGGAGGGTTTGTGTTCGTGCGGGGATTATTGGTGATAGGGGATATTAGAGAATCGAACGTTCGCGAAGAAAAGCTTGTTCGTGTTCAACAAAAGTTCGCTCGATCGTTCGCGAAAAAAAGCTCGTTCGTGTTTGATAAAAGCTCGTTCATTTGTTAGTCGAGCTGAGTTCAAACAGAAAATTAGGCTCGTTTAATAATCGAGCGAACAAGAACTCGTTCGCGAACGTTAATTTAATATAATTTATTTTATTTTTTTATATATTACATGATATCTTTGATAAAAAGAATTAAAATATAAAAATATTTTTATTTTCGAGTTCGAACGAATAAATTTTGAGTTAATTAAACATATTTAAAAAGTTTATGTCCTAAATTATTCGAACACGAACGAACTCGAACTTTGACGAACAATTAAACGAACTAGATCGAACATGATTTTTTGCTCGAAAAATAAAATAACGAATACGAATATTGTTCGAATGTAAACGAACACGAGCTCGAAACGCCCAAGCTTAGCTCGTTCAGTTCGATTACAACAGTAATTTGGTGAGCCTTTTTCTAGAAAAAAATGTGGTTTTTGTGGGTG